TAGATCTTCCCCAGTACATTTACTTCCAGGTTCTTACAACATTTTACCTTTCTTGGCAAATCTATTATCAAAATTGGGGATATTTAATCAAGGTAAACATCAATTTAGTCTGAAGTCCTAAAGAGCGAAACACGTCAAATGAAAACTTTGCCCACTTTGTCATAGATTTGCCTACAATAAACTTTCATATAAATGTCAATATGGATGGTGACAACAAAATTTTGCTGAGAACTGCAATTTTTCTTTAATTTTTTGGGTTGTATTTATTTTCTTGGGAGAGAGCTGTAGATTTTTTTCTGCATGCAAGAATCAAGTATGAAAAAGGTTTTAATGTTAGAATTTTGAATTTTAATTTTTTTAACTTAGTATATGCTCAAAGTCAAAAGCACAATCTATATAATTTATATAAAATATTAGAATAAATATTATATATATATATATATATATATATATATATATATATACACCCAATAAATGTAAATAAAGGAAATATTCAAAATTAACGTCTTAATCAATTATATTATTTTCTTTTTTTACAAATATCATTCCATCACGACACAGTAATTTCTGTTTCAAAACTGAAATTAAAGTTGTAAATTTAATTATAAAAATTAAACTTAAAATCCCGAGTTTCGTTCCATTGTCAAGCGATGGTAGGAATAACTTTCTAAGAAATTTACTTAATTTATAAGGGCAGATAATCTTAATACTTCGAGTTGTTAAGGAAAATTCAATCTATTTCGATTAGGGGTGGTGGTTTTATTTTTCCTAGACAACGTATGTATCAAATATATGTTACTTACAAATGGAATTATGATTTTAAAAAAAAGAAAATAATTATAATATTTTGCTGTACTGTTTGTATCGAGCAGAGTTTTTTTTAAATAAAAATAATTGCTAAGAACACCGAATTATAAATCTTATACATGTTCGTTCTTATTATTTTCATATATATATATATATATATATATATATATATATATATATATATATAAATGATTATTTGTGCTTTCTGTTATAGAGATATCATGAGATTGGCAATTATAATTGAATAGAAATGTTAAATTTGAAAGCTAGTGTATCTAAATAAGCACTTATACAATAATTAAAGAAACATTCTGGAATTAATACAATCATTCTTATTCGATGAAAGAGAAATCACGCAAATCCGAGTCGATCTTCGACAAACATTGTGAACATATAACTTTTGATTCATTTATATAAGTTGTCATAGAGTCAGGCCAAGAAGACTAAATTAATTTTCTGCTTAGTCTAGCAAAAAAGATGGGGGGGTGTTCTTCAGCCTCACTATAGCGTCGTGGATGCAAAGTTGATTATTAAGCCCAGTACAAATGGCATAAAACACAACAGTATCGCCCCCGTTGCGGATGGAACTCGAGATATTGAAACAAACTTGCTAACGATTGCTCTACGGTAGACTTCCTAATTATTACTGTTGACATTTCCTGTTTTAAGTATAAATGGTGTATACGTCTGTTAAATACATATGTGTGTTAAATCGCATTATTTAATCAGCATTTGAGGAAGAAAGTTTGTCGATATTATTTTACGCTTTACAAATAATCTTCTTCTTCTTTTATGTGCCGTGTCCCTTCTGGACGTAGGCGAACACGGTCCTCTACATTTTCCTGTCTTTTGTAACTTTTTAAATTTGTATTTTTGTTATTTCTCCCAAACCGAGTACTACCATCGATTTGATCAAGCTCATCAAGTATGTTAACGCGCTGTCCCTCTTTCTCTCAATCTGTCCTGTGAGTGTCAGGTTTTCCAAGCCCTCATTTCTCATTACATGCTATAGAAATCTCACCCTCTTTCTGGTGTTAAGTATAAGTTTCCTTTTTGTTTCCATTATATCCAAAGCTTTGTTGTTGCTCACATGTTCAGCTCATGGTATTCTCAGCATCTTTCTTTTATAGAACCACATTTCTGTTGCTTCAAGTCTCTTCCTCATCTGTGAGGATATTGTCCATCATTCGCTGCCATACAGAATGACGGATATCACGTAACCGTTCAGTACTCTTTTCATTGTTTCTATCTATATCTTCATAAAAAATATGTTTGCACTTGATTGCCTCAGCTTTGACTACGAATATGATGGCTTCTGCCGACATCTTCGACCTATGAGGGCCCGGCACTCCAGATATTAAAACTGAGCCGCCAGACTAACCCGCACAAATAATTTGTTTATAGTGATGACGGTTTGGACAAAACGATCCACTCTTTTCGGAAGAAGTGAACGCAGACAACTGGCACATAAAGTATGCCACGTGATCTCCAAACAGTCCTTTTCATGTTTTGAATTCAGAGTTGTCCTTCTCCTAGGCTGGCTACCAACCAAGGCTAAAATCTGTTCTACTATTTAACCTATAACTGGTGGGAGAAGAGTTAGATTTCCACCTTCCCCAGGGGTATTTACACGAAAGTGAATGCAACTTGCTCGATTAGATTATTTCTCTTTTCGAGCCACTAACAATTGCACCACCCACACAATTGATATTTCATTCTTTGAGGAAAATATGGAGATTTTATTTCGTAACTTTTATATGTGCCCAAAAGTAACGTAGATGAAAATATCGTAAAGTTTACAAATTTGGTATTTGTGAATATCTAAAATATTCTTGAAGCTTGCTGTGTAAGGAAAGTGGTGTAATTTGTTATCTAATGAACAAAAAATTTGTTCTTGATTTTTATTTTATTTTTATGTAATTATTATTTATTTATACATATTTTATTTTATTATTTTTGTATTAATTTATTTTAAATATTTAAAAGTCTTGAGTTAATGGTTTTTCTTTAATTTTTAAAAAGGTTTTTTTTATTGTCATGGTCATATGGCTTGAGGTGCGAGCATTTAATTTAAAAAAGAAAATATTTGAAAAAAAAAATCCAGGGCATAAGTTGGCATTTTAGTAAGAATCGATAACTGCACTTTCAAGAACTTTTCCTCTAAAGAAAATATTACTTCGACATCAAGAATATGCCATATATAGCAACTCTTGGGACAAAATCACTTTTTCTACTGCTCTCTATCCCTTCCCATTACACACACATATATATATATATATATACACTAACCAACACCAACAGGTTAGCCTTTAATTCAGAAAAATATTCTGCTTATTTCCTACCGCCTGAAGATTGTGCTACCGCCTCAATACTGTGCGTGTATATGAATCTGTCCGTTGAGGAATAAGCTAAAGTTCATCTTGTTTTTATATTGTATATATTTGGTCTGTATTTTCTATATTTACATTGAGCACTGTGTTTCTATAGCATTTGTTTTTTATATAAATTTTATTATTGTAATATATATATGTGTGTGTGTGTTTGCCTGTATATGTGTGCGTCTGTGTACGTGCACGTATTGAAAGAGAGTTGAGCCAATATCTCAAAATCATAAAAATCATTTTTAATGGTAACTTTCCAATAAAAATTTCGCATTTACAAGAGAAAAGATACACATCCTTTGTCGGGTGATTAAAACGGAGTCCCTGTCTAGTGATTTTCTAACCGTGGCCTAGATGTGGCACAAAGCCGAAAGTATGGGGCGCCTAGTGAAGATCGAACTCACTACTCAGTCGTAACTGATCTAACAAGACAAGCATTCTAAAACTTACACTGCGTCGAGGTGCTCCACGGAGTCTGTGTGTATGATTATTTGTATAGTTTCGAAGTGCATTTCTTTTTATGTGCCATGTCCTTTCAGGACGTACACGATCATGGCTCTCCACCTCCCCCCTATCCCTTGCAGCTCTCAACAAGTTCCTTCCCTCTGCTTCCTCCCCTAGACCACGTTCTGTCATCCGCTTGCTTAAGCCCGCCAGATATGTCACGCGTTGTTTTCCCCTGTTTCTCTTTCCCTCTATTCGACCCGTGAGTATTAGATTCTCCAGGCCCACCTTCCTCATTACGTGTTCTAGAAACTTCAGCTGTCTCTTCCTGATATTAAGTATAAGCCTCCTCTTTGTTTGCAACCTCTCTAAGGCCTCATCGTTGCTTACCCGCTCGGTCTATGATATCCATAGCATCCTTCTGTCTCCTCGAGTCTCTTCTTCATCTTTGAGGAAATCGTCCAACATTCACTGCCGAAAAGGAGGACAGATGCTCAGTATTCTTTTCTTTGTTACCAAAGAGATCCTCCCGTCTCGCTATACTCTGCCCAGCTTTTGGAATGTGTCCTTGGCCATCCCAATACGTCTACGGATCTCAGTGTTGCACTTAACGTCCTCTGTCAAGACGCTTCCCAGATATTTAAACTTCCACGTCTGCTTTAAACTGTAAACTCTCGCTTATTTTCATTTTCCCTCGCATTACGAAAACTAAACTAAACTGAAACTAAGCGAGAGTTTTAACGACAGTGTAAAGATCAAGCAGACGTGGAAGTTACGAAAAGGCACTAATGGGAACCATTTTCTGATATTTAGCAAACATAAATTGATGCAATATTATCGTTGTCCGAACGAATAAAAACATGAAACTAAATTTCTCACACGTAAAATTATGTTATTCAACTCCGGTCTTCTTCAGTGAATATCGGCGAGTGGGTGTGTAACTTTGGCAGTTTTTTTCCCCAAAAGTTCATTCTTCTTCTCGCGAGAATTTAAGCGAACCTACGTCTAGGATTGAGGAATCGGAGATCTGAGTTCGAATTCCAGTCGAATCCATTACATTCACTGATACCATTGGGAAAAGTATGAATCCTCTTCATTTCTGCCCCCAGCTATGGTTAAATAGCAGAACAGACCGGGTTCTATAGCCTTGGGTGGGAACTGGTCTGCTGCAGAAAGAAATGGCAACCTATTACGGGAAAAAATCTGCCTCGTCAGTCATGTATAGAAAGATAAATGATTGGCTAAGCGTGTATCACACATGGCACATTGACTGATTCCACTTCCACCTCGGATGGAGGTTTATAAACCTCCTGCCATCGACTGTCCATCATATGCACATCCTAAACGCAACAGGGCTTACGGACACACTTTGAAACATCAGTTCCCGTACGATTACCGAAGTTAAGCAACGTCGAGCCAAGTTGGCATCTATCTGGGTGACCGCTTGGGAAGACCAGATGCTGTAAGCTTGGATGTGTCGGTGGTGTAATAAATAATAACTCGGAATTGTTAATGGGAGATCCAAGTTCCAATTCCCGTTGGGTACGTTATATTCACTTACGCGCAAATACACTTGGGGCATGGGATGAATACACCTCTTCTCCTCCCTAAAGCTGTAAGACTTGTATCACAAGATATTTAGATTTCGGCATTAAATAACCCATAGAGGTTGATATGCTGCTAAACAAAACCATCCAACCAAAGCAATCAAAATATTTAGATTTTGGCATTAAATAACCCATAGAGGTTGATATGCTGCTAAACAAAACCATCCAACCAAAGCAATCAAAATATTTAGATTTTGGCATTAAATAACCCATAGAGGTTGATATACTGCTAAACAAAACCATCCAACCAAACCAATCAAAATATTTAGATTTTGGCATTAAATAACCCATAGAGGTTGATATACTGCTAAACAAAACCATCCAACCAAAGCAATCAAAATATTTAGATTTTGGCATTAAATAACCCATAGAGGTTGATATGCTGATAAACAAAACCATCCAACCAAAGCAATAAAGATATTTAGATTTTGGCATTGAATAACCCATAGAGGTTGATATGCTGGTAAACAAAACCATCCAACCAAAGCAATCAAGATATTTAGAAGTTGATTTACCGCAAAACAAAAACGACCGACCAATGAGCGCACCTGGGTCGAACACCTGTTTACATAAAGAGGGCAGCAACTGAAGTCAAGTGAAGTTTAGAATCAAGCTAGGAGCTCATTTTCAACGTTAACTCTCTGATGAACATGGTTTCTCTAGAGCTGTGATGTGCGAAATCTATTTTAATATCATTGGAAGGCGGCTGAATCTATATTTAACAAGCCTAGGAGGATAACTTTGAATCTAAAACCTGTTGAGCCAACAATTCCACTATTTGCTACAGAAACTACAATAGTGAATCCTAGTGTAGTGAAGTTGAGACTTTAAACTCCATAGTATACGTATAGCATATTGGATGCACGGTGGAGTAATGGATAGCGGCTCACATTGAGGAATTAGAAGAGCCGAGTTCGAATTCCTGTTGGATCCGTTGCGTGCTAATATGAATTCTCTTCTTCTCCTCTACCAGCTATGGGTAAATAGCAGGGCAGACAGGGTTTTCTAGCTTTGGATGGTAACCGGTCTAGGAGAAGGTAACTCTGAATTCAAAAACCGGTCTGGAGAGAATTGAGCTCCATCAGGCTATCTTCCCCAAGAAACACCATTTCTACTGCGGCTGCAGTACAGGTAGTGTCCTTACGATCCTGATGGGTCACGGGAATCGCGATCGATAAAATATTAATTTTTGTATTTACATTCATGTTAATTTTTATTTTTTTTTTATCACAACTCATATGCGTGTGGTGTAAAAGATATCGCATTATATCAGTATTACCCTATCAAATATGGCGATGCGATATGCCGTTTTTTGCTGTGTTCTGATAATAAACATTTAGACATTATAATATATTATATTTAAACATTAGATAATAATATAATCAATAAGTAATGCTTGGATTAATTCTTGACAGCTGACAATGCTTTTTTTATTCTGTGAAATGCACAGCATAGCGTAATAGATAATCATTTAGTAGAAAACTAATAATATTTTTTATGTAAACCCGTATCTCCAGTAATTCATAAACTTCTTTATTCTTTGAATAGAAATGGAATAAAAAGCATTCTTCTTCATTAGCCGGTGATTGTCGTCATACTGGCAGGACTGCCGAAATATAATTGAAAGATCTTTAATTTTCAGTTGTTGGGTTTTCATTTTATTTCGAAAGTTTTGTTTTGTTATTTTCTGTATGTTGAATGTGATTTCTTTTTATAGACCAATAGCACAGACCACACAAACCTCGAAAAGGCAGCTGGGCACTCCCCTTTCTTTGCCACTGGTTACTTCTCCTCCTCTTCATGTATACAAAATTTTTATATTTGAAAGAGTTTTGTTTGAGGTATTGACCTTGATTATTAAACAAAGTCCCCGACGCACTTTAATTTATTCAGAAGAAACTGCTAATTAACTTTAAAACAATCGAAAAATACCATAATTAACTTAAAGCAGAGACAAAACATATTTTTAAAATTAAAACAACTCGCGCCTTGCTAATAGATTCAGATAAATTTTAATGAATAGCACGAATTTGTTTAAAATATTTCAAACGGTATTTCATTATTTTTTGTTATTAACACATTAGCTCCCAAGTCTATTTTCTACGGTTATATTTGTCATATTACAGTTTAAAAAAACGCTTTCTCCGCCTATGGCAGAATGCGCCAATCACACAATTGAAGAAATTCAGTCAGTGTGCGTTTTCATCCTCACGAGTGGCCCAGGCTTACTGGGACATGGGCGATTTTTATCGAGTTACCATATCTAGAATCGTAGCCAACCAGGGCTAAAGACCTATCTGTTCTGTTATTTAATCCATAGTTAGGGGGAAGAGATAGATTCCTACCTTTTCCGATAATATTTCCGCGTAAGTAAATATAACTAACTCGGTTATCCGATTTTTCATTCGAAGCTGCAGTCCATTACACCACCCACACACCCAGTTACATTTAGCTCTATTTGAAAAAGAGTAAAATATTTACGTTATGTTAAAGTTGAGTTATACTTATGTATGTTAATACTGCAGACGTCTATCTTAGAGTTTACGGCCATGGTAGATATTGCTATTATTGTTTCTGTAGCAAGTAGTTTTTAACGTAGTGGAATTGCTAGCTCAACCATTTTTGTATTCTCCTAGACTTGTTGCCAAAGCTAGAGAGACTAATCTGTCGGGCTATTAACCCCAATCGGGAGGAGTGGAGAAGAGATGGATGCGCACCTTTCCAAGGGTATTTGTGAGAAAGTGAACAGACGGCCTCGACTTGAACTCGACACGCCAGTCTCATTTATCATGTTGATAAACGCTACGGGCAAATACATTAGTTTGTGTTATAACTAATTAAGCAGTTAACTTTTCACACTACAAGAACAAAAGGTTTGAAAGGAGACTCCCATTACTATTAGAAAGAGATATTACCTTTGGCGGAAGAAGTATAATTTCCTGAAAGACATTTTTAAAATATATTTTATAAATTCCAACAGTGTGTAACGCTGTTTGATCCAGGACTACCTAATGTTTCCTGAATGGAAACGGCTATTTTCACCCTTACCATTACATGCATTACTTTTAATTTACCCTTACATTGCGTAATTAAATTTCATGGTTATTCCCGTAATAAATATATCCGCTTCTTGTTACATACGAATATTATTTTTCAAAGATGTGGAGTAAATCCGCTTTCCGCAGTTAAAGGTGTCATAATTTTGATTGGATATATGTGTTTTCTGCAGTTAACGGTAGTAAAATTTTGAGCAGGTATATCTGCTTTCCGCAGTTAGCGGTAATAAAATTTTGAGCGGATATCCACTTCCCACAGACAACGCTAATAAAATTTTGAGTTAATATATATCTATTTTCGGCACTTAACAGTATCATAATTTTAAGCGGATGTATCCATTTTCCGCAGTTAACTGTAATAAAATTTTGAGCTGTTATATCCGCTTTACAGAGTCAACAGCAATAAAATTTTGAGCGCTTTCCGAATTAACGATAATAACATTTACTAGCGATGACTGCTTTTTGCAATCATCGGTAGTAAAATCTTAAGCGGACATGTACGCTTTCGCAGTTAACGGTATCATAATTTTGAGTGGATATATCAGCTCTCCGCATTTAGCGGTATCGTAATTACGAGTGGATATATCAGCTTTCCGCAGTTAACGGTATCATAATTTTGAGCGGACATATCCGCTTCCCGCAGTTAACGGTATCATAATTTTGAGCGTACATATCCGCTTTCCCCAGTTAACGGTATCATAATTTTGAGCGTACATATCCACTTTCGGCAGTTAACGGTATCATAATGTTGAGCGGACATATCCGCTTTCGGCAGTTAACGGTATCATAATGTTGAGCGGACATATCCGCTTTCGGCAGTTAACGGTATCATAATTTTGAGTGGACATATCAGCTCTCCGCAGTTAACGGTATCATAATTTTGAGTGGATATATCAGCTCTCCGCAGTTAGCGGTATGATAATTTTGAGTGGATATATCAGCTCTCCGCAGTTAGCGGTATGATAATTTTGAGTGGATATATCAGCTCTCCGCAGTTAGCGGTATGATAATTTTGAGTGGATATATCAGCTCTCCGCAGTTAGCAGTATCATAATTTTGAGTGGATATATCAGCTTTCCGCAGTTAACGATATCATAATTTTGAGCAGACATATCCGTTTTCCCCAGTTAACGGTATCATAATGTTGAGTGGATATATCCGCTTTCCGCAGTTTTTGGTATCATAATGTTGAGCGGACATATCAGCTTTCCGCAGTTAGCGGTATCATAATTTTGAGTGGATATATCAGCTCTCCGCAGTTAACAGTTATATCCGCTTTACAGAGTCAACAGCAATAAAATTTTGAGCGCTTTCCGCATTAACGATAATAAAATTTTGAGAGGATATATCTGCTTTCTGCAGTCAGCGATAGGAAGATTTTGAGCGGATATATCCGCTTTTCGCAGTCAGTGGTAGGAACATTTTGACCGGATGTATCCGGTTTCTGCAGTCAGCGGTAGTAAAATTTTGACCGGATATATCCGCTTTTTGCAGTTAACGGTAGTAAAATGTGTGCTATATCTGATTTTCAGTTAACGGTAATAAAATTTTGAGTGGCTATATCTGCTTTCTACGGTAACAGGGTTAAGCAAAATATGCAACAACTGAGAAAAATGTACATGAATTTAAAAATAACTTCTCCTAATATCTCACATTCGTAAACAGACAGACAATATTTTTTCGACTCGGAGTAACTTTCTTTTTATGTGCCGTGTCCTTTCAGGTCGTAGGCGATCATGGCTCTCCATTTCCCCCTATCCTTTGTAGCTCTCAATGTTTAGTCCCACCTCCTCCAGGACACGTT